CCCCTGCCCCTGACCCCCAGACCTTCCTGCTGGTGCAGACCCCCCAGGGCCTGCAGCTCATCCCCAGCCCCCCAGCACCCCCGCGGAAGCTCTTCCTGCTGCCCAGCACCCCGGCCGAGCCCCCCGCCTTCACCCTTCTGCCCGCCGAGGGTCCCCTGCCCCAGGCGGTGAAGGGTCCCCAGGCGTCAGGACCTCCTGCCACTGGGCAGAGCATCCTGTTGGTACCCGGCACGGGGCAGGCGCTGCCCGGCATCCAGCTCCAGGCCATGGCGGGCGCCGCAGCAGGGACCAGTGTCATTGTCCTGAGGGGTGGTGTCAGCGGTGTCCTTCCCCCACGGGGGCCACAGCCCCCCGAGGTCACCGGCGTCCAGCTGCAGGCAGCCGAGGTGACCAACGTCCAGCTCCAAGCCGTGCCACAACCCTTGGAGGTCACCAATATCCAGCTCCAAGCTGCTGAGGTAACAAATGTCCAGCTCCAAGCCACAGAGGTGACAGGTGTCCAGCTCCAAGCCCTGCCGCAGCCCTTGGATGTCACCAACATCCAGCTGCAAGCTGCTGAGGTGATGAATGTCCAGCTCCAAGCCCTGCCACAACCCTCCAAGGTGGCCAACATCCAGCTGCAAGCCAGTGAGGTGTCCAATGTCCAGCTCCAAGCCCTGCCACAGCCCTTGGACGTCACTAACATCCATCTCCAAGCTGCCGAGGTGACAAATGTCCAGCTGCAAGCCTTGCCTCAGCCCTTGGATGTCACCAACATCCAGCTGCAAGCCAGTGAAGTGACAAATGTCCAGCTGCAAGCCCTGCCACAGCCTTCAAAGGTGGCCAACATCCAGGTCCACACTCTGCCACAGCCATCAGATGTCACCAACATCCAGCTTCAAGCTCTGCCACAACCCTCGGATGTCACCAACATCCAACTGCAGGCTGCGGAGGTGACAAATGTCCAGCTGCAAGCCCTGCCACAACCCTTGGATGTCACCAACATCCAGCTGCAGGCCACTGAGGTGGCAAATGTCCAGCTCCAAGCCCTGTCACAACCCTCCAAGGTAACCAACATTCAGCTCCAAACCCTACCACAACCCTTGGATGTCACCAACATCCAGCTGCAGGCCACTGAGGTGACAAATGTCCATCTGCAAGCCCTGCCACAGCCCTCTGAGATCACCAACATCCAGCTCCAAGCTCTGCCACAGCCCTCAGAGGTGCCCAGTGTCCATCTCCAGGCCACGGAGGTGACAGATGTCCATCTCCAGGCCACGGAGGTGCCCAGAATCCATCTCCAGGCCACAGACATGACAGACATCCATCTCCAGGCCACAGAGGTACCCAATACCCAACTGCAGACCACAGAGGTAGCAAATGTCCATCTCCAAACCACCAAGGTACCTGACATCCATCTCCAAGCCACAGAGGTGTCCAACGTCCATCTCCAAACCATGGAGGTCCCCAGTGTCCATCTTGAGGCCACAGAGGTGCCCCACATCCAGCTCGAGGCCACAGAGATGGCCGACATCCAGCTCGAGGCCACAGAGGTGCCCAGCATCCAGCTCCAGACCACAGAGGTGCCCAGCATCCCGCTCCAGGCCACAGAGGTGGCCGACATCCAGCTCCAGGCCACAGAGGTGGCCAGTGTCCAACTCCAGGCCATGGAGGTGCCTAACATCCAGCTGCAGACCACAGAGGTGCCCAGTGTCCATCTTGAAACCACTGAGGTGCCCGATGTCCATCTCGAAACCACTGAGGTGCCCAACATCCATCACCAAACCATGGAGGTGCCCAGCGTACATCTCCAGGATGCAGAGGTTGCCACTGTCCAGCTGCAAGCTACTGAGGTGCCCAGCGTCCATCCCCAAACCATGGAGGTGACAAATGTCCATCTCCAGGCTGCAGAGGTGCCCAGTGTCCATCTCCAGACCACTGAGGTGCCCAGTGTGTGTCACCAAACCACTGAGGTGCCCAGTGTCCATCTCCAAGTCACAGAGGTGCCCAGCATCCATCTCCAGACCACGGAGATGACCAATGTCCATCTCCAAGACACCAAGGTGTCCAGTGTCCATCACCAAATGATGGAGGTGCCCAACATCCATCTCAAGATCACGGAGGTGCCCAACATCCAACTGAAGACGCTGGAGGTAACAGATGGCCATCTCCAGGCCACTGAAGTGCCCAACACCTGTCACCAAATGATGGAGGTGACCAGTGTCCAACTCAAGACCGCAGAGATGCCTAACATGCATCTCAATACCACAGAGGTGCCTAATGTCCAATTCAAGACCACAGAGGAGGTGCCCAACATCCAACTCAAGACTGTGGCGGTGCCCAACGTCCAACTCAAGACTGTGGAGAAGGTGCCCAACATCCATCTCAAGACTGTGGAGGTACCCAAAATCCAACTCAAGACCATGGAAGTACCTAACATCCAACTCAAGACCATGGAGCTGCCTAGTGTTCAACTCAAGACTGTGGAGGTGCCCAATGTACAAGTGAAGACCGCTGAGGTGCCCAGCATCCAACTCAAGACCATGGAGGTGCCCAACATCCACCTCAAGACTGTTGAGGTGCCCAGTGTCCAACTCCAGACCGTGGAGGTACCCAACGTCCAACTCAAGACCGTGGAGGTGCCCAGCGTCCACCTCAAGCCCACAGAGGTGACGAATGTCCATCTCCAGGCTGCAGAGGAGCCCAACGGCCAGCCGCAACCCCCTGAGGTGCTCGTGGCA